GTAAGAGTGGCATATAAGGGGTGTTAACTGATATCAGGAAAGAATGGACATAGTTCCTCTATCAGAAGTTCCCTGATGATCTGTGCACCACATGAACCTATCTGCAAAGACTGACAGAATAGCTGGAGTGTGGCCTGGGAAAAAGGCAAACTGGCTTCATAAAAATCTTTCTTCATATCCTTTGCAATATTCACAGTCTCAATGTATTTCATTCTAGAATGGTGATTTTGAGATCAGGTCAAGGAAATACATCTGTTAACACCAAAATTATTCTTCTAGGGCCGATCAATTAATGATAGCTTTAGAATGCTACTAGTATTAGAAAATGTAAATTCAATTTCCTTTTTATTTATCATTAATGTGATGTTAAAGACATTCTTTGACCAGGCCCCAATCCTTCCCACTAGCCTTAAGTTGTCCGTGTTTTCAGAGCTTCGTATCTTCCAAGGGTTCTTGGCCTGGCAAGCATGGATTCAGGCACCCAATGGTGAATTTCGCAGAGCCCATGAGTTCTGGGTAACTTCACATAAATTATATGGAAGTTTACATGTGCATTTATTTAACTTCTTGAAGGGGTCTGTGACTCCCCAAAAAGTTAAAAACCATTATTTTATTCCCTCAGTGTCAAATCATTGTTTCCTTATTACTATCATCAGGTGACATTATTTGTTCTTATTCTTTAAGATCTGGCTGATGTCATCTCCATTCTAGAATCCCAGGTCAAAACCAAATCAGCCTTTACTCTCAACTTCCATCATGGTTTAGATGAACCTCTAATGAGAACATATTTCTATTTGCCTTATGATCAATAATTAAATGCTTGTTTATCCTAAAGAATTGATAGTTCTTTGGAGAGAGGAAAACTCATACTATATTTACCTTTGTGTACATTGGTTATAGCAGTACTTTATAAGTAGTAAATACAAAAAAACAATTTCTGTGTTGAACAGGACAATGCTCATTTTTATTGCACTTAACAAATTTTAGAATGTGTCTTCCTGGGTTTATGGTACTCACTATACTTCTTTTTTATTCTCTCCTTGACCTCTTATTGATTTAAATTCTATTGGCTTAACTGTATAGCCATACCTGAGCCATCCCATTCCACACTCTTACTCTCTACCCACATGTGGCATGGCGTCTCTCTACTACTAGCCCTAAGCCCAGTTATCTGCCCACCAGTTCCTGCAGTTCTGTGGTGAACTTCAGCCTCAAAGCAGCCTCTCACCACTGATTCAACAAAGACCTTTGGAAGAAACTATTATGCACCAGCATCTGAACCAAGTATTGAGGTTCAAAAGGTGAGTAAGAATAGGTTACCTATAGTTTGCAGAAGTTTTGAATGTTGATTTTGGTCCTTGATATATCAGCCTCATGTCACATTTAAATTTCTCAATGACTTCACCCACCTTACTCTCTGCTGGGCACAGGAAGACAGTTGCTAATATTGACTTTGTTGGCCTCTAAAAAGCTCTGGAATACTGCGTTGTTGTTTTTTATAATTTGACATTACATATATAATGAAAGTTTGATAGCCACACCATTTTTTTGGCTACTTTTACAATTTTGTTTTGCTGCCATCATGAACTGTCTTGTCCTACAGCAGAAGGATTGCACATTAGGATGAGAGATGTTTCCTCTAAATATGGAGTAGTTGCAAAGCAATCATAGTAATGAAATGGATTGTGGGCATAATGTGCCTGTGTTTTCTCATTATGGCATATTTCGCTGTGATGTTTCTGTAATGAATGCACCACTTGTACGTATTAAAAATGATGTAAGTGATCATTATAGAAATATTATTTTTTCCCATGATAATATTGGGCACTGCTTTCTTAGTGGAAAGGGTATTATCACTTAGATGTTAAATTTTTAAGTGGATTCCTTTGTTTTTAATGTATAAGTAATAAAAGGAAATTTAATAGAGCACTTCCTTCACTTTCTTTTCTTTTTCTGTTGTTTCTCATTTGCTCTTATGTCTTTGAGATTCCCAGTTGTGCAAAGATCATTTCCACCTTTAGGTGGGTCTGATTAGCCAGTGCTATAAGAGCCTCTGAAAAGCTCAGACCTACCTGAGAAAAAGAAACCTTGATTTTGTCTTACATAGAGAATAAAAGAAAAAAAAATGTAGGGGTCCCTTCAATGCAAAACAGATCGATATCACAGTATGGCCACCTTCTCTTTATGTTTATCCTCCCTTCTATAGCTCCTTCCACTGAGCTACACAAGCAATAGTTATCATGACTCTATTTGTTATGACCATTAAAACTTCTATCTCTTTAATTTCCTGAATCTGTAGCTCCAAGGGATATGTGGTATTTGCTTACTTGGAAGGATTCTGACTGATGTTTTCATTGATGACACAATATCTATGCCTTCCATTCATGCTGAATTTACAGTTTATATCACCTTTTTTTTCAACTTGGCTTCAATGCTGGTTTAACTTTTTCTTACTTTTAAATGCATCTCACACTATTTTTTCTTCTCTGAACTCTTTACTTCCAGAAAGTCTCAAGTGGTTTAGATTTTAGTTGCTTTCTAATTGTCTCATGTATGTGTCATAGTTTACTAGATATGTTACTTAGGGCAAGTCACATAATTGTTCTCATTTTCTCTTTCCTTCTGTGGTAAGTGGATATGATAGTGTTGAGTTTGCAGAGTTCTCTAAGGTGACATCTCTCTTCTTTGTGTCAGATTCCTAACTTAGTTTCCTGAGAAATGAAATTCAGCCTTATTTTTTCTTCTGCCGAAGTGCTTAGGAATTGTCTTCTACATAGCTCTCTATCTACTTGCTTTCATTACCAAGAGATCTGGTTTTATAGTTGAAAAATTCACTTCCATTGGGTCACATTTCACCCTTGTGTAGAGTTACTGTGTTCACAGTGACTGCTCCCTTATGTTGTCTTTTTCCCCAGTACCTGCATTGCTCAGGCGAAGTGCCCACCTCTACTTTCTACAGCCAAGACACAAGCACACCAAGACAAGGTTATCACATGAAAGAGATTACTTTTTTGGCTGTGAACTTCCATGAGAGTTTGTGAGACATGACTGTTCCCCTTGCAGATGGTTGGGAAAGTCAGAGTCTATTCTGTAGACCCAGCACTTGCTGCAGCTGGACCACCAACATTAGGTTAAAGAAGAACAAAAAGAGACTTTGTCCTCATTTCCCAACTATTACTTCCATCCAGCTATAGCCAAGACCTTGTTTTTCAAGAATAGCTTGGCCCAACAATAAAACTAATACATGGGTCTCACTTGATATCTTAGTGTCTATTTCCCTATTATTTAGAGAACCAAAGAGTGGAAATGGGTATGTTAATGCAGTTTACACTCAGATTCCCCCATACTCATCCAAACCTCAACAAATCATTGTGAATATTAAAGGAGATATCATGGGTAATAACATCTGCATTCCTTATACATTAGTTTAATCTTTAATTTTGAACAGGATTTCCACTTGTTTTCCTTTTATGGCATAGTTTCTGCATGTAAGGTACATAGTGACATGTTGGGCATGTAGAGTGCTCAATGAAGTTTGTTTTTACTAATTGACTGGCTTTTAGATGCTCATAAGACTCAAGACTGGTGTCTTCCCTAGCAATATAAAGGATTCACTTTGTCCTGTTTATTTTATTATTTTTTGCTTTGGCTTTTACTTCATCTATGACATAATTTTACCTTTATAAATCCTCTAATTAAAAATATTTTACCAACATGTTAATTTATTTCTTACATACAATATGACAGGTTTCAATCCTGATCAATGCTTTCTGTGCAATTAAATACATATTTTATACATGCTATATAAATAAATATATATCATTTCTTTTATCCAGTATTTTTAAAAATTACCAGCATTTGAATAGATAAGACCCCTTTACATAATTTTGCTTTTTAAATATTTGACTTTTTATTAGTTTTTTAAAATAAATAATGCATTCATATGGTTCAAATATCAAAACTCTGCAACAACCATATATTAATTCTGGCTCCTATCCTTGTTCCCCACCCACTCTTACACCCTATCTGTCCCCAACAAGCAACTGTATCATTTGTGCACCCTTCTAGTGTTTCTTTTTTTTAATTTTTTAATTTTTAAATTATAGTTAGCATACGATATTCTATTAGTTTCAGGTGTACATCCCCATAGTTAGACATTTACTATTACTTATACAGTGCTCACCCCAACAAATCTAGTACCCATCTGACACCTTATATAATTATTACAATATTATTGACGATATTTTCTATGCTGTACTTTACATCCTCATGACTATTTTGTAACTACCAGTTTGTACTTATAAATCCCTTCACCTTTTTCACCCATCTCCTCACCTCCTCTCACCTGCCAACTGTCAAAATGTTTTCTATGAGTCTGTTTCTGTTCTGCTTGTTTGTTTATTTTATTTTTTAGATTCCACATGCAAGGGAATTATATGGCATTTGTCTTTCTCTGTCTTATTCCACTCAGCACAATACCCTCTAGGCCCATCCATGTTGGCATGATTTCATTCTTTTTTATTGCTGAGTCATATTCCACTGTATATATGGCTATTTCTTCTTTATCCATTCATCTGTTGGTAGACACTTAGGTTGCTTTCATAACTTGTTTATTATAAATAATGCTTCAATGAACATATGAATGTACACAGGGGTGGGTAAAAATAGATTTACAGTTTGTAAGGAAAAAAACATGCAGGTTATGATTATCACAAAACTTTATTAACTCAAAAGAATGTCACAATGGCACAGTGCACTTACATACAATCTTGTAAGTGCCATTGTGACATTCTTTTGAGTTAATAAAGTTTTATGATAATCATAACCTGCATGTCTTTTTTCCATATAAACAAATGTAAATCTATTTTTTCCTACCACCTAATATCTTTTGATTTTGTGAAATAGATTTCTTTGTATAAATACAAATACTCAGAAGGGGAATTGCTGGTCTTCCTTTGTCTCTTGATATAGCCTTTGTTTTAAAGTCTATATTGTTATGCATGCTTTGGCAGCACATATGTTAAAATTGGAACAATAGAGAGAAGGTTAGCATGGCCCTTTCACAAGGAAAGCAAAATAAAATAAAATAAAATAGAGTTTATTTGTCTGGTATAAATATTGCTACCACAGCTTTTTTTGTTTATTTCCATTTTCATGAAATAATTTTTATATCACTTTACTTTCAGTTTCTGTGTATCTTTCAATCTGAAGTGAGTCTCTTGTAGACATGATATATAAAGGTTTGGTTTTCTTATCTATTCAGCCACCATATGTCTTTTGACTAGAGTATTTAATCTATTTACATTTTAAGTAATTGTGGAGATAAGAAAATAAGACTCAGTCCTGTCCAGTGTGGCTCAGTTGGTTAGAACATTATCCCATAACCAAAGGTTTGTGGGTTCAATTCTCCATCTGGACACATACTTGAGTTGGGGGTTCTATCCCTGATCCTGGTGGGTATGATTTCCAGTCTGGGCACATAGAGGGGCAACCAATCAATGCTTCTCTCTCACATCAATGTTTCTCACCCTCCTTTCCTATCTCCCTTCCTCCCTTTCTAATAGCAATTTTTTTAAATAAAAGTCCTTGGGTGAAGATTTTAAAAAATTAAACAAAAATAATGAAAGAAAAGAAGACCCATACATATGTTGTACACAAGAGAAGCACCTCAGAATGAAAAATGCACACAGACTAAAAGTAAAGGGATGGAAATAGATATTTCATTTCAAAGGGAAAGGAAAAAAGCTGGAGTAGCAATATTATGTCTGACAAAATAGACTTTAAAACAAAGGCTATAATAATGGGCAAATATGGACATTACATGATAAAGGGAGCAATGCAACAAGAGGATATAACCCATGTAACCATATATGCACCAAACACAGAAACACCTAAATATGTCAAGCAAACCTTGATGGACATAAAGGGAGGGATCAACAGTAATACAGTCTTAGTAAGAGATTGTAACACACCATTTACATCAATAGATACATATTCTAGACAGAAAATCAATAAAGAGACAAAAGTCTCAAGTGACACACTAAATAATATGGATTTAGTTGATATCTTCAAAGCATTTCACTCCAAAGCATCATGATATACATTTTTTTCAAGTACACATGGGATATATTCTAGGATAGACTACATGTTAGACACAAAACAAGTCTCAATATATTTAAGAAGACTGAAATCACGAAGTGTCTTCTCTGACCATAATGGTATAAAACTAGAAATAAATCACAAGAAAAGCTGAAAAACACACAAAGACATAGAAGGTAAATAAAATATTACTAAACAATAAATAGGTTAACACTGAGATCAAAAAAAAAATCAAAAGATACCTTGAAACAAATAAAAATGAGATCCAAAATCTATGGGACACAACAAAAGCAGTTCTATGAGGGAAATTTATAGCATTACATGCTTACCTACAGACACACAAAAAAACTCAAATAATAAATTTAACTTTACACTTAAAACAACTAGAAAAAGAACAATAAATAGAGCCAAAAAAGAGTAGATATAAGGAAATAATAAAGATCAGAGAAGAAATAAACAAAACAGAGTCTAAATTAACAATACAAAGAGCAATGAAATCAAGATTAGTCCCTTAAAAAGAAACAAGATTGACGAAACTTTAACCAGACTTACCAAGAAAAAAAGACAGAAGACCCAAAGAAATACAATCAGAAATGAAAAAGTAGAAATAATAACTGTTACCAAAGAAATACAAAGAATTGTAAGAAAATATTACAAACAACTATATGCCAACAAATTGGACAATCTGTATGAAATGGATAAATTACTAGGAACACACAATCTTCCAAAACTGAATCAAGAACAGAGAATCTGAACAGACCAAGTACACTAATGAAATAGAAAAAAAAAAAAAAAAAAACTTCTAACAAACAAAAGCCCTGGACCAAATTGTTTCACAGGTGAATTTTACCAGTCATTACAAGGAGAACTAACACCTATCCTTCAACTATTCCAAAAAATTCAGGAGAAAGGAAGACTCCCAAGCTCATTTTATGAGGCCAGTGTTTATGAGGCCTAATTCTAAAACCAAACAAAGGCGCTACAAAGAAAGAAAATTATAGGCCAGTATACCTGATAAGCATAAATGATAAAATCCTCAAAAAATACAGCAAATCGGATCCAGCAATATATTAAAAAGACCATACATCATGATCAAGTGAGATTTATTCCAGGGATCCAAGGTTGGTACAATATCTGCAAATAAATGTGATACACCACGTACACAAAATGAAGGGTTAAAAACCATATGAATATATCAATAGATGAAAAAAAAGCATTTGATAAAGTCCAGCACCAATTTATGATTTTTAAAAATCTCAGCGAAGGAGGAAAGAGGAAGTGTACCTCAACATAGTAACGGCTGTATACGACAAATCCACAGACAACATCATACTTGATGGGCAAAAACTACAAGCATTTTTCCCTTAACATTGGGGACAAGACAGGGATGTCTGCTCTTGACACTCTTACTCAACACAGTTCTGGAAGTCCTAGCTACAGCAACCAGACAATAAATGAAAGAAAAGGCATTCAATTTAGAAATGAAGGAGTAAAACTGTCATTATTTGCAAATGACAAAACACTGTATATAAAAACCATAAAGATTCCACTGAAAAACTATTAAAACTGATAAATGGATTTAGTAAAGTAGCAAGAAACAAATTATAGTAATTGTTCATAGATATATATTTATTGCTACTTTATTTTTCATATATTTTTATCTTTTCCTCTTCTTCCTCTTCTTAAACAGTCAAACATTTCTTATAATACTGGTTTGGTGGTGATAAACTCCTTTAGCTTTTTTTTTTTTTGCCTAGGAGGCTCTTTATATGTCCTTCCATTCTACATGATAGCTTTGCTCGGTGAAGTAATCTTGGCTTTAAATCTTTGTTTTCCATTATTTTGAATATCTTGTGGCAATCCTTCTAGCCTGCAAAGTTTCTTTTGAGAAATCAGCTGACATTCCTTATGGGAGCTCCCTTGTAGATAACTAAATGCTTTTCTCTTGCTACTTTTAAGATTCTCTCTTTGTCTTTAACCTTTTGCATTTTAACTATCATGTGTCTTGGTGTGGGCCTCTTTGGATTCATCTTGTTTGAAATTCTCTGCACTTCCTAAACTTGCATGACAATTTCTTTCACCAGGTTAGGGAAGTTTTCCATCTCTATTTTTTCAAATAATTTTTCAATTGCTGTATCTTCTTCATGTGGCATCCCCATGATATGAATATTGTTATGCTTAGAGTTGTCCCAGGGGTTCCTTATACTATACTCATTTGGGGGAAGGGATTCTTTTTCTTTTCTTTATTTCTTTTTCTTCTTTTATTTTATGTTCTGTTTGGGTGTTTTCTGCTTTTTTCTCTTCCAAATCACTAATTTTATCCTCTGCTTCATCTACTCTATTATTGATTTCCTATAAGGTATTCTTCATTTGAGACTTTTTTCTATATTTTCTACCTTAATTTTTATGTTTCCTATCTCTTTGTTGAACTTCTCACTATGTTCCTCTACTCTTCCCCAAATTCATTAAGCATACTTATAAACAGCAGTTTAACTTATATCTGGTACATTGCTTGTCTCCACTTTGTTTTAGTTTTGGGGGTTTTTTTTCTGGAGTTTAGTTTTGTTCTTTCATTTTGGACATATTTCTTTGTCTCATTTTGGCTGCTTCCCTGTGTTTGTTTTTATGTATTAGGTAGAGCTACTACATCTCTCCATCTTGGTAACGTGGCCTAATAAAGTAGGTGTCCTATAGGGCACAATGGCACAGCCTTCTGTCACCTGAGCTGTGGGTTCCAGGTGAAACCTTCCCGTGGGCTGTGTTCACCATCCTGTTGTAGCTGAGTCTTGATTCCTGTTGACAGGTCACTGGGAGGAATTTAACCCTAGGCTGATTGGCTATGAGGACTATCCAAGACCACTGTGGAGGATCTGCTCTGCAGGAGCCAACACCGCAGAGCAGAACTCACTTTAGCAGAGCTCAGGTACCCACCACGTAGCCCACAGCAAAGATATATCTCCCAATTTTTATCCATTATTCAGTCATAGTAAGGAATTGTAACACACCATATCTAGGATAGACTACATGTGGGTGTAGAACCAACCCATTCCATGTCTTGGCCCCTTCTACCAGTATCAATGGCTTCTCTTTTATATCCCTTGTTATAGATTTCAGGTGGTCCTGAATAATGTTTGTTCTGTAGTTTATTTGTTATTTTGATGTGGTTGTGGGAGGTTCCAAGTATAGTGTTTACCTATGCTGCCATCTTGACCAGAAACCTTAATTCTGCTTTTAAAATTAACACATTCATTAGTAACTTATCTTTTCAACTTTCTTAAGTATTCTTTGAGTGTATTTTTTATTTGTTTTCATTTCATTTGTTTCTCTTTCTTTCTTGAAAACATCTGAGTTTGCAGGTTGAATTTTTATTCTCTAACATCACCTGTAACAATCACAGTTTTAGTCTTATTGTATTCACCTCTTCATTCTTTCCTCTAAATAACTTTTGCCTCAAAATAAACAAAACAGATTTCACAGATGAAGGAACTAAAGTTCAGAGATAAAATAACTGGCTTGAAATCTTACTAGTAGTAAGTACCAGAACAGCTTTTAAAATAAAATTTTTACTTATGATTTTAACTCCATTGCTTTTTCTACCCCACTAAATGCTCTTAGCTATACACATACTTGATTCTCTCAGGGGTCACCTGGGTTTATTATCATATTTGGAATGTGTTATAATAGATAAGTTCAACATTATTATTTATAAAAATATTATGTTAAATTTATTTATTGAATAGTTGACTACTTTATACAGGCAGTGAATCCCAGTTATGAATTCTGGAAGAGAGATATCTTTATGTATATAGATATACAAATACAGATATAAATATGCTTTTATTGTTCAGGAAAAGTCAAAACATTTTAATTTAACTTTGTCCTATGTACTCCCTTATGACAAATTTAGATTTCAAAGAAAGCATGTTTTTTGTTTCCTATATCCAATATTCTATTGGTGTTAATTACTAATATTTGGGTGAAACATTAAATTTAATAAATGCTGT